ATTTCCTCTGCGTAAATGGGGAGGGGGGGAGGAGTTAGCCACCTGATGCCCACTCCCTTCTCTCCACTAAATACCTGAAATAATTGGAATGGATAAAACAAGATGCCAGCAACTCTCTTTAAATTGAGTGTTTGCTTTGGAGGGCTTGGGGGGGGGGGGGGGGGGTGGTAGAGAGAGAGGAGGCAGAAAGATAGCGGCAAAAAAAAAATAAATAAAATCCTTAATTAAAGTGCAAGGAACTGACAGCAAAATGAGATAAACCATACCTTGCAGCTTCTATAGGAAATTGCATATCCCAGCAATCCTGATCAAGAATTCAGATCATTTAGGAAATTAAGGAGGACTGGTTCTTCAGAAGAGTTCACTACCAGCAACTCCCACTTAATTTGGCCACTTTATTACAGTGCTTCTCCAGGAGATAAGGCCCAGTCAAAAAACAGCCTTTGAGAAAAATCAGATCTTTTACACAGCACTGGCATCTTACCTCCATCAGCAGCCCCTGCCAGGATGGGTCTAGCCAACTCCCCGTAGAGCATCCCAGGTCCCTCAGCATGATGGAGAGGCTCCCTGACAGCACGATGGGTCAGCAAAGAGCTACCACCTCCTACCAGAAGAGACACAGCCAGGTACAACCCCCTCACATCCAGTGTTCATGTCACAGGGTTGCACGGCCACCAAGGTCAGCCCATGTCAGAGGTTAGGTGATGCCCATTGACTCCATGAATGAAGTACCTTGGACACTGCAGATGCAGAGGACATTTACTTATGCAGGACAACATGGGCAGGTAGTACTTAGCACACAGCCTAACGACAGAGTACTCTTCCCAGGACACTGCCGAACAAAAGCAGGGATCCATTTCCTCAGAGGCTCTCTGTAGGCCAGGGCAGACATTTTCTCTCCTTGCATAGGAAAGGCTTCATCACTGCCACCCTGCTGCAGCAGACTCTTACACACCTTGCCGCAAAGTGACAAGAGGAAGACAGAGTGACCAGCACTGTACCGGCACTTCATTCATGGGGACCACACTGCCTCCAGGAAATGAAGCAAGCATGTATGGCCAAAATTAGGCTCTTTCCAAGCCAATCTCTTCCTCTTCTCATTCCAGACAATCATGAAGCCCAGCTTTGAAGGCAGCAGTGGTCACATAATGCAAACTTGAGTATCATCAGTGAAGATTGTATCACTGCAACAGATTAAAAACGGTGTGAGCGCAGGAGGAAGGAACCAGTCTGCAGATAAAGTGCTCCTACATTGTAGTCGTGAGGTTCCTGACATTGCCCCAGACTGATTTCATTTCCCTTCCAAGTAGGGAGACCCTAGGCATAGACTCCCTTTCTACAGGAATAAATGAACAATGGTCTGATTGTGATTCTCTTATGCTAACAACCCATAGGTTGGACTTAGTTCTTTTAACTGTTTCTGATGTGTTCAGCTCCCTCTCACTCATGGTGCTGCATCTCTCCTCCAGTTTCCCTCATCATCGGCAGCAGCATCTGCGGCAGGTAATCTGAGATGTCAAGTACACCTGCTCTGAGGAGATGAGTGCTGCAACTGGGTCCCTTTGTCTCTTTCAGTCCCAGTAAACCTGTCACTCATCCCCACCTGTAAATGCTGGTAACTATGTGATTCACCATCAGCTTTAGGAGCGAGCACTGAGCCCATCCGCAGCAGAGTACTGCTCCACTAACTAGAACATGGGAGGTCACAACTCGGTATTTAGCACTCCTTCTGGGGCTTCAACTCACCAGGACAAAGGGGCCTTTGCTACAGAAAAGTATAAGATCAAGGCTGAAATTCAGGATCACCCTGTCTGATCACAGCTTGACACAATATAAAATTGTTTGTGTGCTTGGAGTCTGACAGCTGAAAGGACAGGAGTTTCAGAAAGTTTTCTTGCTTTTGAAAATTTTCACGTTCAATAACCTTAATCTGCCTGGATTTAACAGACCTGACTCACCTTCTACACCAGCCAAACCCACAGAGATAGATGCTCCTGGTTTACACCAGTGAAGAGAATCACAGCTTGGGATGCTCATTCTCATTTACAAGGAATTTGCCCCAGTTTGAAGGCATACAGGAACCCTGCAGAAAGTATAAACTACCATTCTCAGGTCAGCATACGCTGACAGTACATAACAACTGGAAATCAGGCTACTGTCTCCACATCTAGTCTTTACTAGCAGCCGATGGCAGATTAATGGGACGTGTGACAGACAGGTGAACTGGAGCTAAGATGGAATAAAAGGGAAGGTACATATATCTGCCAGCCTGCCAAAGTACTGAATATATGAATACTGCAAGCAGATCCCATGGGGAGAACCACACTTTTAATCACAGTTTGGCATATTTGCCTTTATGGGTCCCAACTTTAAAAGCAACCTCAGATCTGACAAAAGGAATGAGGAAGAAGAAAAAGAGGTGAATCTTCGTGCAGATGGGTGTATAAAAGTGAAATTCTTTTCAGTGTTAATGAACAGACAAAGATACAAGGTGAGCAAGATCATATTAGCATTTCTCATTTCCACCTCTAGCCAGAGTAAAATCTCTGTTCTCAGAGCACTACCAGTGACACACCAAGAATCACGTCCTGAAGGCCTTATGGTGTTTACCAAAGCATCCATACTGTTGGGAAGAAACTTAATAAAACAAAGAAATGGCTCCCTCATGGGAGTGGAGAGAAAGGAGCAGTCAGATCTCATGTCAGAAGTTTTCTGAGGCTGATAACACAAGAGACAGAAGTGTCCTTCCTCACATGTTCATGTCTGCCCCTTGAAGGCCTATTTTCCTATCCAGAGAAAACAAACACCCAGGGCAGCACTCTGTACTCAGCAGCACTAAGGGTGACAGGATTGACTGAAAGCAGCGTTTGATTTCTGCCTGTCAGCTGACTGTCCTGGGCAGCCCAAGCAGTATTTGCACCCCTGACTCTGTGAATGGGGTCCACAGTAGATGCTACAGAGAGCTTCCCAAGCCCTGGGTGAATGCCACCCACAAAGATATAAGTGCTTGCTAAGATCTCCCCCCTCTTCTTTCCCCTTCAGCACCACTCTGCTTTTGCTCTGGCCCTCAGCAGAGCTTCAGACAGGGGTGCAGCAGAGCCATGAGGGGAACGCAGAAAGACCCAAGAGGCAGAAAAGCCCACTCACTTGCATCCCCACGGGTCTGCATTACTCACCCGTGGGTGCTCAGGACCTCACTCCCACAGGGGCACACTGCCACCCTGTGGAAACGGTCCCTCCTCTCCCAGGCGGCCGGGGAAGGATGCGGGGATATGGCTTGCAGCCTCACCGATGCTCATTAGCTACCCTGCTAATGCATGGGCAAGCGATATGCACTTTGGCGCTGTGCTGAAGCAGGGCTCTGTGAATTTAATTTATTGAGACTAATGCAAATTTAATTTCTGCAAAGTCTTTGTAATCACATATCTAGTGGCAGGGAGGCTGCTGCCGACACAGGGATATAGCTACTGAAACGCACAATTACTGCCACTCACTCCACTCCCCTCCACTGAAAAATTAAAACGACAAGGGGCAGAGATCATCAGCAAATTTTTAGACAAGCCAGATGAGAGACTGAGGCTGGGAGCCACCTCTGTTCCTAAGACATCAGGGCAGCATGCAGAAAAGGGCAGAAAGCCTCAAACGAGGTGGGACACCGACACCAGGTTTCTTCCATCCTGATCCTGCAACATCCAAAAAATTCCGAACCCTGGTCCTTGCTTTGGGTGGCCTGGTGAAGAGCCAGGCAACCTTAGCATTAGCAGGTCAGTGCTAAACACCAA